AGCCTTTCTCATAAGAGAGTTTTGCCAGCAGTTGCCACACTTGGCAGGCGGATTGGCAACCGCAGTTAGACTTTTAGAGATGTTATAAGAGGGACGCTGCTATCTATCCTTCTATCATTAAATTCTCTTAGTCGCCTCTTACGATAACCACAGAAAACAAGGGGCGGCCTTTTCTATGCTGGGACCACATTGTATTTATTTAAAGTTTTTGCTCTATTAGTTTTTTCATTTATTTTCACAAGTTCTATTTTTTTTTATTTATTGATTATTATTATTAAGGTCTCGTACAACGAGTACGTATAAATATACCTAATTTAATGTTTCATGGTTTTTCTAAATGTAGAACGGAATGTTTATTTTCAAAAGTTATTTTTAACTTTATTGCTCTTATTTAATTTTTTTTTTCTCATTTCTTGTGATTATAATTTAATATCCTAAATGTTTAATGAAGCTACTTTCTTCAATATTATGTTAACTTTTTTATCACTTGAATACTGTAACATGTGTACTGTACACATGTATACTGTATGTATAGTGAGGTAACAATTTTACATTGCATCTAATAATTTTATCTACAGATAAAAAGTGGTTGAAACAATGACTAAATTACAGGTTAGTAAAAAGACCATTAGAGAATCGAGTGTTCTTTACAAGTCTACGATGAGCTTGATAAGGCATACCTGGCCCTCAGCAGGCTGAGGACCCGCGTCCTCCAGCAACGGCTTTGTCTCTCGAGAGGGAAACAGGGCTGTTCATCATGGATTAAGCATTTATGTGATTTTTGCATCTAAGTAAGGACTTTATGATCCATTATGTTTTCAGAATTTATTTTCTGAAGAATATAATATGAATATAGCGATATATAAAAGCGATAAGGCCGCCCATTGTTTTCTCACTGTGATTATTTCTTGTAATTGTTTATATTTATAATAAGTTTACTATTGTAATCTTTTGGAGGAAACAATAAAGAGTATCTATCTATCTATCTATCTATCTATCTATGAAGAATTTTTTATGTTAAAAATAATTCAGACTGCATTCTTTCATTTTCATTAATCAGTCAATGAAAAAAAAAATGGTTTCGACTAGTGATCGCTTCAATTTATTATGCAATTTATTATATTTATTATAAAACATTGAATTTATTTACTGATACAAACGTAATATGTTGTACATACAATACAAACTTTTTGTAAAAAAAATCTAAACAAGTGTATATTGCAACGCAAAATAAAAGACACAATTGCCATGCTAAAAATTATTAAAAAAAATATAGCCTCTGTTACTCGGAATAGTATACAATAGGTACATGCAAATCTGTTTAGGTACATGCAAATCTATTTAGAAGTTATGATTAACAAGGTAACTCTCATACATGAATTCTAAAAACATTACGCTTTTTTTTGGGTAGTCGTGTAATGACAGAGAAATCTGTATCGAAATCCGTTGGGTGATTTACAAGAAGTATATGGAGATACAGAGTGACACTTATAGGAAAATTGTTTTATGCTATTGAGAGATATACAGTAATATCTATAGTCAAATACGACAAAACAACTCATCGCTAGATGGAGCGCTCAAATGTGTTGAGAATTAGTGGATGCAAATGGCTTATGGCAACTGTGAGAAATGATCCAGAGGTATAAATGTCGAATGTCGAGACTTTGTATATATGTCGTCTGCATAGGAATCTCTATTCCATTCGTGTCTGCCTTGAAGCAGTTGTGATTGTATAGCTGTGTTTAGATTTGACGGGTGGGATACGACAGTGACATAAACAGGTACTGAGGGGTAATATCGAAGTCAGGGGGGAGAAGAGAATGTTAATGGGTATTAGCACCGTCATTGTTAGCAATACATCCTGCCAGGTTGACCACTGGAAACCATCGTGGCTAATTCCTGTTGAATTTGTCACTATAAGCTGACTGATTTGCCTTAGGTGAGGACCTATCATCTATCGTTGGTGCTCCGCCAGTATATACCTATAGCAAACGCAGGATTACCATTCCATTTTCATCCATAAAGAAAAAAAGTCATTGTTAGGGGAGAGAAGAGACTGTTAGTGGGTATTAGCAGCATCATTGTTAGCAATACACGCTGTCTGGTTAACCTCCTCGCGGTTCCTCCTGGAAAGCATCGTTCCAAGTGAATTCATCACAATGGGCTCACTGACCTGCCTTTTTATCTCCACCTATTACTCCTCACTAGGGCTTGGCCAGCGTATATCGTTAGCGCAGGTGGAGTTACTATTCTATTATAATCCATTTAACAAAAAAAAACATCGAAGTCATCAGAAAGACCATGCACGAAGGGTACCCTGAGCATCAGTGTATCTTGTAATGTCTACAGTGCTGTTCTGTTGTTGCTCTGATGGTTGCCATTTTCCGTAGGTGGGTCGTCGGTTTATCTTTTTAACTATTTAATAAAAATATTTACAGACTATTTAGATACTTGGTAGAATTTTAGCAATTTACGTAACTTTAGATACTGGATACTAGATACAATTGTAATTGGTATATGATGGATTAGAATGATAAAAAGTAAGCTATCTACTTCAAATTATTTGTGTCTACAGATTTTCTATCTAATATTATAAAACCACTTTATCATAATCATCGGCGGTTGGTATCGTTTATAAATGTAAAAATTCAATACACATCGCGTGACAATAACGCATCAGACTGGACATTACCTACACTCGTTATTAAAGTATTAAAAAGTGTATATTGTAGGTTTGAATTAAAAATCATCGGTAGTTACTGGAGTTTCTTACAGTTATTGAAGATATATCTAATGTTATGAAGATTTTTTTTTATATAACTTAGAATGGCAAACAAGCTGACGGTCCACCTGATGTAAAGTGGTAACCGTCGCCTATAGACATGAGCAGTACCATGGACATAACAGAGTATACTGTTTCGCCCATGATACCCCCCATGCGTTGCCATTCCTGAGGACTCAGGTGTTATTCCTCTGTACCCAATGAATTCACGCCATATCCCACCCTTCAAACCGAAACACAGCCATGCAAACACAACTGCTTCACGGTTAAAACACGAATTGGACAGAGGTACCCAAGCAATCGATATTTGTACAAAGTCTTCCTCTGGTACAAATATTATTTTCATCGATTTTAAAAAAGGAAGGAAAAATAAAACTGTCTCATTTCAGTTGTTTTTTTTTTATGTTACGTCCAACGTTTGTAAACGATTTGGAAAATTCTTTACCTGAAAGCTTATATTTTCAAATTGCTTCCTAAAGTCCTGTGACTTTTATCAAAACAGTTGCAGTAATTTATTTTAAAGTTAAAATGTTGTTACGTTTTTGCTACGATGTAAAAACACTGACTTGTAGTAATGATTTTTTGTGGACAATATTTTAAATTATTTTTACGTAGTACATCCTTGTACACTTGTTAATTTATATATTAGTAGATTGTTAAAAATAACTGTAAAAATTTAGTTTTATTTTTGTATCAACATGCTAAATAATTTTCGACAATTTCAACTTTCTTTTTTACCTTCATGTGAGGTAATATTTTTATAAATTACTTTTGAAAATTTTTACCCTGTTTACATTATTATATATAATAAAAGAGTAAATATTTTCACAAAGGAAAAAAAAATGTTTTACATACACTGTAAATACAGTTCAAAACATTTAATTAATATAATGTATTAGGTATGTAATAGCTACAATATCTAAACTGTTACATGTAATCAATCATTTTGAGTATCTAAGTTAGAATTCAATTGAGTGCCTCCATTTTGCGTCAAAGCGTAACATAATATTTGTATGTGTATAAGTTGTATATGTTATAATAATTATTCGGCGGCGTGTTGCGATAATACAGATTTAGATAGAGCACCGACTGAGGAGATAACCCCTTACATAGCTTAGAGCACATAGCGCTTACCACCCTCGCAGTACAGACAGCAAAATGAGCAGACAACGTAATATTACCAATTTAGGTAATAAATATCTATTTGTTTTATTATAATAATGTCATTTACAAAATTTACAATAATTTTGTAAAAAAATACATTTGTGTTTATTTTTAAATTGAAGAAATAGTCATGCATATCCTTAACCCTTAACTAATATTATAAATGCGAAACTAAGTTTGTTTCTTTGTTATGCTTTCACGTTTAAACTGCTGAATCGATTACGATAAATTTTGATACAGAGATAGATGGGACTTTAAAGACGGTTATAGGTTACTTTTTCTGCCGGTTACTAAACCTATCCCTAGCATGTATGTTTTTTATGATACTTGGAATATATGTTTATATGTTTTTTTTTTACTTACGTACTTAGAATGTCAAATAAACCGCAGGCCCCTTGATGGAAAGTAGTAACCGTTGCTTGTAGACATAAATAGCACCATGGATATTAGAGAATATACTATGATACCCATGAAACCCCTCAGGCGTTGCCATTCCAGAGTACGATGGTATTATTCCTTCATACTGTGTAATTTATTTGAAAAACACATGAATAATTATTTATTATATAATATAACTAATCTCATTCAGGAAAAAAAAATGTATAAAAAAAATACATTAAAGTATAAAATATTTCTCTTTTGGATTTTGTAAGTAGGTAATTTTTTTTACAAGATACATAAAACATATGATTATATAAAATATATTATTATTAGTAAATTGATTATATTACCACTCGACCAATATATCCAGTAAATGTTATGCATTAATCCAGGATTGAAAGGAACGTGATTAAAGATTCCGTAGACTAATATTACTATTATTGTTATCATAATATTATGGTATGAATGTACTGAGTACCAAAATAAGGTAATACATTACAAAAAAAATATTGCGGTGTAAATATATGGAATAATTAGTAATTAACTTTATTATGAGTGGAATTGGCCGTTAATATAAAGAGGTTCTTAACTTTCTGGTTTACTAAATAGGTTTCTGGTTTAATAAATATTTGACATACTCAACGATATTCTAGCTATAAATAGTTGGGTTTGTATTGTGATTAGTATTATAGTTCTCGTATCTTCTCCACAGTTAACACATCCATCCACAATCTACATTGAAAATGAAATTCGTAAGTAAAGTTTGCTATTATATTGTTTTTAATACATAATCCAATATTAATTAATCTTTCCGACAATTGTATTATTTTTTCTGTAATTTTTTTAACAACAGCGTAGTTTAGTTTCTAAAAAGTAGGTCAATACTTATATAAATAAATACTATCACTGTAGTTTCTACATAGTAATTCATAAAAGATACGAATTATGAAAAATGAAATTACTATAACTTTAATATATTTGTATTCCAGTACAATTTATTAGCAGAAAATATTTTCAAACAGTCTTAGAATATATTGTTTGTTTCAGTAGAATTTAATAAAAATGAAAATAAACCATTAATTAGTAAATTATAGACAGTTTGCTGATATCCAACAGTAGTAACTACGCTTTAATATCGATTAATTGTTTCGATTTATTATTAATTTAATTTAGATTACTATCTAAATACTTTACTATGTTTAACATGTTTTGTTAAAATAAACAAAGTAATACTTTATTTATTTATTTATTAGTCCATATAAGTGTACATGGCGGACTTAGTGGTAAAAAGAAAAGATTTAAAAGCGAAACCAGTACAGTGAGAGGAGATACATAGTTGGAGAGTATCACTGGAACGAAGGTTACTATCGTGAGTTTCTAAAAGGTACTGGAATTTGCTGCTTAAGTAATTAGAAGACTGGGGGTTTCGAAGAAGAGTAAAGAGGGCACAAAAAGAGTACTTTACTATGTTAATTTTAATAAAACTTGGTTATCTTTCAATAAATTCTATTGACACGGATATACTGAGTAATCAAACCAACACATTATAGCTGTATTATAAGTATATAAGATTTATATTCGTATCTTTTTCCAGTTCGTGATCTTCAGCTGCATGGTCGCCGTGGCGTTGTGTGCCCCAACGAGTTCAGTAAGAGAGCTGCCCGCCGTACGCCACGAGGAAGTTCATGATGAATATGGACAGTACGCTCTCCGGTACATCACAGCTGAAAGTAAGAAACTTTATTTGAGTTATTGAAAAAAAAAGTTCGATCTTGACTCAATAATTTTTTTATGTTATATCTTATACTAGATATATTTTATAAAATTATTTTTGAATTTGGTTCAAAATAGAAACCGTTAGAAACAGTGTAGTATTTTTTGAGATCTGGGGGTATGGCTGTTGTTTGAACGTTCTTTTCTGGAAGTAACTCAAAATTTTTTTACAATATGGAATGGGAAATAACTTCGTATAAAAATAAATTTGTTAATGAAACCCCGCTTGTGTTATCGGTATACATTGGTGAGGAACCAGTGAGTGGATGAAAGGTAAATTGAAATCAGGTCAGTCAGCTCATCATGATAAATACTTTTTTTATGCAACTTACAATGGTAAACAAGCTAACGGCCCATCTGATGGATTCTACCGTGAAGCAGTTGTGTTTGAATGTGTATTTAATTGTGTTTCGGTTTGAATAACGCATGGGAGGTATCATGGGCGAAACAGTATACTCTGTTATGTCCAAGATACTGCTCATGTCTATAGGCGGCGGTGACCACTTTCCATTAAATGGGCCGTTAGCTTGTTTGCCATTTTAAGTTGCATAAAAAAAAGTATTTATCATGATGAGCTGACTGACCTGACATAAGAGGGGAAGGTATTATCATTTATTATCAACAGCCGCTCTTGTAGGGCAGCAGTCTAGACGATGTTTTTCAGTCTCCTTCTGGTATTAACTATTTTTTTATAGTCTGTTTGTATCTGTGCGTATTCAAGTTGCTACATTTACATACTATCATGTAATATGACGTATTTTTATTATTCTATTCCAGACACCGTGGTGTCTGAACGAGGACGCCTGGTTCCTAGCAAAGATGGTGGCTACGTCCTAGAAATCGATGGCCAGTACCAGTTCGTTGGTGATGACGGACATGTGTACGTCACCAAGTACAAAGGTGACGCTGACGGTTTCCACGTCGATGGTGCTCATCTTCCTCAACAAGTCCCTATGCCAACTGTATGATTAAATAAATGTAGTATCTATTAATTAATTTGAAAATTAGTTTGTATTTTTTCTACACACTCGCACTCCTGAAGCTGGGGGAAAGGGATTGTTAGTAATGGGGTCTAACTGACCCATTGCCAGGAGTACACCCTACTAGATCGACCTCCACATGGTTCCCCCTGGAAACCATCGTGGTTAATTCTTGTGGATTTCGTCATGATGGGCTAACTGACCTGCTTTTATCGTCATCTATCATCCTTCACCAGTGCCCCGCCAGCATATATCGATAGTGCAGGCGGCTTTACTATTCCATTATCACCCATTAAAAAAAATTTACTCCTGAAGCAACACTATACCTTATGTTATATGGAATTAAAAGTGGGACGTAAATTATAGGGTACATTAGGATGTACCATATGATTTACGTTCTAATTTCAAGTGTTGCAGGAATTTTAGTCTAGGATCTAGGTTTTCTAGAACACTTAGATCCGGGTCAAATGTAAAGGTCTTTGTTCTATAAGGGCTTGATTGAAAATTGAACTCGAGACATTTGATTCATTAAAAGCGATGGGCCAAATATTGTATCATAAAACTTTTATGCGACCTCTACGTGATTCCCCTTGGAAACCATCGTGCTGAATTCTAAGTGTATCATCACGATGGGCAAACAGACCTGCCTTTTCCTCCTCACTTATCATCGTTCACTAGTGCCTCACCAACATACATCGTTAGCGCAGATGGAGTTACTATTTAATAATCATTCATTAAAAAAAAAGCACATGTAATATCCTGCAAGCGTCCATGGGCTACAGTAACCGTTTACTGTCAGACAGGCAGTATGCTTATTTGGCACCTTCGTGGTGTAAATACAAATCAGGTTGCTTTTGCTAACGGTACCTAGTGAATTTCTGAAAGGATCTAAGGAGGGTGGCGAGAGGTTTCGAGGATGCGCCGGGGGCGGCAGCTGGTGTGCGGGGGAGGTCGCGGGCTGCGCTGTGACGTCACGTCCTATCTCGGCGGCCATCTTGGATTATCTCGTCGCACCTGCGGGGCGCGGGACGTGGTTCAGTATCGACCCGATGCCGAATCTGCACATTTTTTAAGATAAATTTGATAAAATCTGAAAAATTATTCTTTGCAGCATACATGTCAAACCTTCATATGGCATCAAGTTTGTCTATGTAGTAGCAGAGATACTGATTTCTTTTATCAGATAGAAAATAAATTCCTAATATGTATATTCGTGAAAAGAAAAACCTCAATTTTCCTGTTGACTGAAAATTGGTCTACCTTTGTTGATTGGTTGAGCTGAAATGTTTATATGATAAATTTACCAAATTAGCGTTGATTAAATGGTGAGTTCTTTTATCCTATAGAAAATTAATAAGTTAGTTTTATTAAAAACAATAATTGGTACACATACAAGTACATGTCACATATAAACTGTGACCCAAAACTATGATTGGAGTACAAGTGTATATGTTAAAATTCTCTCCGCACACGCGCCCTCGTTATCTGTCTGCGGCAGTTTGGACACGCGATACGATCGCCACCCAGACTCCGGCCCTCCGCCCTTGGTTGATCCGCCTTGCTTCTATTTACAAGGGCCCAAGGGCCTAACGCGCGATTTTGTTTTTTGCTTACTCTTTAAAGGACCTTGTTAGCTGTTTGAGTTGATGTCTTTGTTCTTTACGATTTGATGATACAAATTTTTCTAAGAGGTCCATTATTTTGTAATTAATTAACTTTTCGTAATGGCGGTATACTTGTATTATGGTGTTATAAGATAATGTTATATAAATTGTAACTTTAGATTTTAATACTGTATCCATGTAATAGCTGTATCTGACTTAATTATGACTGTTATTGTCTAATTTTACTTTTTATCGTTTTAGTATTTGGATTGTGACATATTTACCTCTCAAATATGAAATTATGATTTTGAGTGGTTTTGTTTATTAGATGATAATGGAATGATAACCCCGCCTGCGCTAACAGTATACGTTGGCGGGACACCAGTTAGAGATGATAGGTGAAAATAAAAAGGCAGTGAATTAGTACATCGTGATGAATATAGGTATTTGGGATTCAGCACGATAGTTTCCAAAAGGAACCACGTGGAGATCGATCTCACAGGGTATATTGCTAGCAATGGGACTGGTAGTCCGCATTACTAACAATCCCTTCCCCAGATTATGGAACTATTCCCCAGGGACTAGCAGCCCCACTGCTAGCATACTTTATCAGGTCCATCTCCATGCAGTTTCTAAAACCTACAGTGGTAAACATTTAGTAATGGTTTACGCGGCTAAGGATTTACTCAGATCCTTTACTGGTCCATCAGTGTATACTAATAGTACAGATGAACAGGCGAAGTTACAATTCTATTTCATAAAACAATCTCTGTTCTTTTCATATCAAAAAGTGTATTGCATAAAAGCAACCACCCTTACAACAATTAAAAATACAGGAAAGTCATTAAGTGGCAATCAACGTGTCAATTTCGGGACCACCGTATTGCCTAGGGTTCTACTGAAACAATGCACTTCGGGCTATTAAGAGCGCGTGCGGCGCAGCTGCGTGTGCGCACCTCGCCGCGCATCAAACACTCGTGTAGAGGGCGCTGTTTTGTCCCGGAAGAGTGTGAAGAGGGTAAACTGAGGCACGTGCTGTCGCCTGGTGGTCTGACCACCGGCGGCGTGTTGAGTGGTGACATATTATAGAAATGTTAATTATGATTGTTTGGGTCCTCAGTGTTACGCCAAAATTGATGAATAAGTACCAAGGACAAACTTAATTTTTTTAATGGGCGATAATGCAATGGTAAGCCTAGATTAGTGTATCATATTGTGACAAATTCATCAGGTATTAAACACGATGGTTTTCAGAAGGATCTGTGGGGAGGATTTGATGGGGTACATCTCTCTTCAGTCGTACACTCTTGACAGACATGGTTTTTATAATGCTAGTGGATAGTCTACTTTCCTTTTAATTCCTCTCCCCCGACATGTTAAGATACTAGAAGTAAATAACTGTAAATACTAAAGCTGTTAAAATAAAAAAAAAGTACTTAAAATACATCGTTTCAAAATGTAAATACAATCAAACACATAAGATGTTTGATTAAGTTAAATTAAATTTTGTAGATTATTGTCTAATATAACTTTGTTTAGTGGAAAATGTATAAAAGTTAAAAGTTTATCAAAAAGACAAGAACATTCCAAGTCCAATAAGATTAAGTGATGTCCAATACTAAACCTATATACCATGTTAGATCGTTAATATTCTAATAGAATATACTATTTTATAAAACGTAAAATAATATTGATAGGGTTATTGAGAAATATGGACACACCAGCTGCCGGGACAGCACGGGGGTCTTGGCAAAGAATATTATGTTAACAGAAGTGCAATTTTTAAATTTCCGAAAGAGAAGGATCTTAACTCATCTCAATTTTTGTAAGTGTGCTTTGTATATCTCGTATATATATGATTGCTTTACGCATCAACATATTAGTATAATATCTTATTCAGCTATGATTATCTATTACCTGATGAAATGAAAACGATTGTCGGAAACAACAAAAACAGTAAGCTCATAAATGCCTGTTACACGTATAGACATATTAGTAGATAAAGTTGATTAAATTAACTTTAACTAAATTAGTTACAGTTAGTTAAATTGTACCCAATAATGACTTTGCATGCTTTAGACTATAAGGCGAACATTTGTACTTCACAATAGATCAATATCTGTAAAAACAATGTTCTGGCAAATAAACAAATCTATCTATCTATCTATAGTTAAAAAGTGAATATAATTTATAAAAATAATTTTTAACAATTATTTTGCAATCAAGATTTAATTCTGTGTAGGTTCCATATACACTTTGTGAAGATCGACGCCGGTTTTTTATCAATTGAACAATGTTCTGTTTGTATTAAAGCTAAATCAATTCCTTGTAAACAATTTTACTAAATGTAGGAACGAATTGAAATAGGTTTTTTAATCTTTATGTGTATCTCAAATGAATCACTATTCCAATATCTATAGTGTGTATGACATATTTCATCGTTAACCGGCATGTTTATTTTTTTCGAAATAAGAACAATAAGATTAGTAGTCATTAGTAACTTGGTCACGATTAAAAATTTGTCCAAAAGAAAAACAACCACTATGGCTGTTATTTTTTTTTGTTATCTTAAGTATATAACTTATATCTACTTGTTATTGTAAGAATAAATATTAACGTATATTCGCAAAAAAATAAAAAAAAAACTTCTAATAATACTCTTTTTTTAATGGATAATAATAGAATCGTAACCCCGCCGACGCTACTGATATGCGCTGGCGGGGCACCAGTGAGGATTAAAATAGGTTAGTTAACTCAAGGTAACGAATTTTGTAAGAATTAATATGGTTTCTAGAAGAAAAACTCGTGGAGATTGATATGATAGGGTATATTGTTGTGTTGGGGGGTATCATGGGCGAAACAGTATACTCTGTTATGTCCATGGTACTGCTCATGTCTATAGGCGACGGTTACCACTTTCCATCAGGTGGGCCGTCAGCTTGTTTGCCATTCTAAGTTGTATAAAAAAAAACTTGGCTGTTAGATCCCAATTACTGACAATCCCTTTTCCTTTGATAATAATACAACCCAATAACTTGAATGCTTGTAGAGATGACTATCTGTAACATGCCAGCAACGCTACAGCGTCTGCTCTGGTCTTGCTAGTATCTGTGGGTTAAGACGTTGCCAGGTGAGTTGCTTGTTTGTTTGCCTATCATACATAAAAATAACAAAAATCATTGTATTGGGTTCAATTCCTAGTTTTTTTTAATGTATATTCTTTGACCGGAGGCGAATGGCTCCAGTGGCAAAGCACGGACTGTTCATTTATTAAGCGCCACGTGATGCTGTATTATTATTTATTGATCTCGACTCCCAATGCGACCGTAGTCAGCTACTACTTATTAAACTACTTATAAGATATGATTCCAAGAAACTTTAATC